GTCGCAATATAAATCCTATAGGTATCTCTCGCTCCCAAAACCTCATTGCATGCCGAACGTACAGCAAGTTGACAAATAAAATTCACCGGTGCTGTTCTCTGCGAAGGTAGTCGGTTCATCTTTCAAACGCCACTGAGGATTTTGTGCGCCTTGCAGTATTACCGTCGACCCGGGAAACAATACAGATAACAAGCGACACAAGGAGGTCGATCACGCTTGCCAATGCCGTTACTGTTTGCTACGGTGCAATCACGGGCTCCTTGACAAGAGTGGCTCTGGTTTTCCGACCTCGTTCTACGGCGAATCGCCAACGTGCGGAAACCGCGCGATCGTGATCGTAGCTTAACGAGGTTCTTGCGGCGGAGAACGCTGCCAAATACCAATGCAGTCGGACTGGATATACAACGAAGTCTGGAACTCGGTTACCGCGAACGTCGTCCGTGCAGACTCCGTCCAAGTGTCAAGGTGTGTCTCTGTGCTATCTCGCGTTCTCGGAAGGGGCGCGGTGTTGCCTGCTCTACGTGTAATTGACGCTTAATTCGTGTGCCTTTCTCACTTTATTTCTCTCTCTCTCACCTTTATCTGTCTTCTCTGCCTCGTATATCGCCCTTAACGCTTCGCGGCTCAAATTTCACGGCGAGCTGTCTAGTCCCGTTATCGCCAGGAGGGATCGAATACGTCACGTTTGTTCGGTGCACTTGATGTATAGTGCAAACGGTCTCGCATAGAGGACGCATGTTTACCCATCGCAGCGTGACCAGTCGGGTTCGGCCCGGGTGGTTGACCTACCTGCATTTGCTTTATCGCTTTTCTCTATCTACTTGTCTTGCATTTTATTAGTACTGACCCTCTTACCCCCCCCTCCCCCCTGTTTTTTTTTTCATAGTTCCCGAGCTAAGGGGAGCCATGTTTTCGCTTTCTCAGGTGGCTCGAGATGTCGTTGCTTACGTTATTTTCGCTTCGATTACTATTGAATACAAATTACGAAGTGAAAGTAAGTGAAGCAGCACTAACCTGAACCTCCTTCTGCGTTTTTTTCATCGTGGGGGGTCATGGCTATACGAGAACGCTCCACAACATGTTTTTCTACACTTAAACATACAGCAAATAATGTGTTAGCATAATGTAATATTCTCGCTTAAGGAGTGTTTACCCATTATTCTGCTTAATCAGTGTGAAATCGTGTGAAATTGAGCATGTTGGTGCACGACAATAGCGACAAAAAGAAAGGGATTAGAAATTGCTATAAAGAAAAAAAACGGGAACAGCGCCGTTTCTTCACAAATATCAGGGACGTAGACAGAGACTTTTTTCAGGGTGCCATTTCAAGCTGAAGCAGGTGTGGCCGATTGTATTTTCGTGCCCTGTATACCATGGGTAAAAAAAATAAAATTGGGGTGAGGGGAGCGGGAATGGGTCTGATGTGCCACCCCCTGGTTACGCGACTGACAGATATATTAGCTTTCTGGAAATGGGGAAATACAGGAGACGGAAAAGATTATTCTAACCCATAGGCAGGTTCCGTTCCTCTCAAACAACATTTAACTGTGGGGATAAGTAATCCAATTGACAGTGTGATCGATAGGGAGCTCAGAAGCGAATGACCTGCAACACGTATAACAAAGGCTTCATACATCCTGCGGCCGTGGTTATCTCGGTAGTGGCGCACAATGTGAGGGAAATATGGTGCTGACGGGCGAGTATAATCACCAGCTCGGCAGCAGCACATTTATAGTCCGGACCAGGTTTGGGGGTATTTGAGACATGTATATGAATGGGACCCTGTTGCGTAAGCTTTGGTTTACAAAACACAAATAAAAGATCACCTGCCCGCAATAAATTCCAAAGCAACATGGCTTTCATTCTAAGTTAGAGTATGTTTGCATTACATGGAGCCTTTACTCTAAACACAACATTAAAATAATAGAGAACATTCAGAGAAAAGCTGCCCGATTCATTTGATCTAAGTCTAAGCGCACTCGCTCCGCCATGAATCTAATAGAAAGCGCCGCCCCTCTTCCAAATAAGGAAATAGGCAGGCAGATGCCCCGCTTCAATTTACTGCAGTATATAATATATTATGAATTATCCCTAGACCGCGTGTTATAATGTAACCCCTCTGTCCACAAAGCGTACAAGCCATGATCACACATTTGTGTTAACTCCTCATTTTTTCAAGGACAAATGCAAACATTCCATTCCTTCTTCTCTATAGGACAGTGAGTGGAAGTCCAGGTTTATAATGAATGAACCTTCCCGAATCAGTACGTTACTCATTCTCTTTATTGTGCTTGAAAATTTTCATATCGTATTTACGTATTGTTCCTTCCTTGTACGCAATATCAGAGCCGTTCCTGCAGAGACCGAATGGTACTCTGACGACACATGCTTCATCACTCTCTGTCGTCGTGTGGCCGTCATATGGCGGCGTCATCACCCGAGGATTTTATTGCGAGGCTTCGTGCTGACGCCGCCAACAGCGATGGTCATCGTTCGTGTTTGACGAGTCATCCAAGCCTTCCACCTTCAATACATTGAGCATGCGGTCAATTAACTGTGAAAATCCCCTTCAACAAAGCAAAGCTTGCTCATGCATCTCCTCGTCTCTTTTTATCCGCCAGGTGCGCGCACGTCGAAGGGAGCAACGTTTGCCCTTCATAAACACTGCCGTCCCCGCAAAACACAAACACCTCGCGACACGCTCAAAGTTATCCGCGTCCCTCTTGGATGTCCTAGTTGCGGCCGCGAGCAACGTTCTGCCGCTAATAATAAGCCTTTCTTTGCTCGAGAGCCTCCCGAGGGACACGCGAGACTTTCCCGTCGCCGACTTCCTTCTGACGCCGTCCACTGGCGCACGAGACGGGGATCGATATTAAAATTAAACCCGCTCAGCTGTTTCGTTCATCTTGCTGTACGCTCCAAACGGTCTTTGCGACCGAACGCATCACCGGGCTCATCCTCTGAAAAGGTCGCTCGCGGAAAGTAATTTCGCGGCTCGTGCACCGCTGTACGGTACGATATCGGAGCATGCTAGCCGCCACTCAGAAATTACGCATTTGCCTGATCTCGGACTGGATATATATATATATATATATATATATATATATATATATATATATATATATATATATATATATATATATATATATATATATATATATATATATATATATATATATATATATATATATCACCTTCATGTTAAGTTATCCTCGTGCACTAAGGCTTTGAAAGTACGGATCCGGGTAAGCATGATAAAGGTTAAAACTTTGTCCCATAGTTTTGAAATGTTTTAAGTAGATCCCCAAGGCGGCCATAATCATTAAAGATTCACTCGCGCTGTAACTTCGCCCCCTTTGCCATATTCAAGTGCCTGAGCGGAGCCTTTTCTTTTCGTCATACGCCAGCCTCACGTTTTAAAGATTAATGATCTTGAAACGTTAATTTATGTTCGGAAATGCGGAACTAGCAGGTAGTGAACGCTGCCGCTTATACTCTTAGTTCGTTTTTGCCCGCTTCCTTACGGTGGTGGCGGGTGCTGGAAACTGCGCACTCGTGGCGATGATTGATTGCGCGAAGCGTGCTCTAGCGCCTCTTCCTTCGATCGAAGTTATCGTTGGGCTGACCTGGTAGCGTCAGGTGACTTCTTGCTCCTCTTAGTCTTCGTCCTCACAAGCATTAGTAAAATTACGGAGCTGTCAGTTTTAGTTCTGAGACGTCGAGTACTAAATGCTAACCGGAATGCATCCACTTTTTGATCTCTCTGCTAGTTTGCCGCAGCCTTCAATTATAAGTTCCCCTACGAATCTTTACAAAACATATCAGTGTAGTTATAGAATTAAGCATGGCGCATCGTATCTAATAAATACGGTGCCGTGAGTTGTTTGCATCGTAAGTTTACGTGTGTGACGTGAAGCAACAGATTATTAGTGGGATTAGCCTGGATGAACGCTCTTGTTTCTCTTCTATGCACTTCCGGTCGAACGTTACTTCCGGTTTTATGAATACCCATGAAGACTGCGTGTAAACAGCTCAGAATCGCGACAACTAGAGGTAACAAATAATACAAGCGCTGAGCCGTGTGTCACATCTATTTGGCACACAGAGCCTGATTTGTGACATTATCGTGGCGTCATATGGTGATGTCATCACTTGGTGATTATTTTCATCGCTGGTCTCCGTCACTGCGAGACGCCGACGGTCAATTTTTGTATTTTGATGAGGCATTTAAATAAAGCTGATATTAAATTTCTGGTTCTGGCTGAGTTTGAGCGTTATGTTACATACGTATGACATAGGAGTGTCAGTTCACTGAATCTAAAGGTCAATTACTAGCTTCCAGGATTATTAATTTGATTGATATGTGGGGTTTAACGTTCCAAAACCACCATATGATTATGAGAGACGCCGTAGTGGAGGGCTCCGGAAATTTCGACCATCTGGGGTTCTTTAACGTGCATCCAAATCTGAGCACACGGGCCTACAACATTGCCGCCTCCATCGGAAATGCAGCCGCCGCAGCCGGGATTCGATCCCGCGACCTGCGGGTCAGCAGCCGAGCACCTTATCCACTAGACCACCGCGGCGGGGCAGGATCATTACTGATCAATTAAATAAGCTCATTGAAAAAGCAGACGGATTTTTGATGAATTGTTGTTACTTCGTCACTATACTTGGCTCCAAACTCTATGATGGCCCAAGTGAAATAAGTTCCGTAAATAATTTCAATTGTAATTATTACAATGTTGCTTTATCATTAGTTTGTAATTAGTGCCCGTCTTATTTAGTAATGTAGGCAAAGTGCGGTTTTGTTAATAGGTACAGTTCAATATGCATTATGCCTTCAACGACAAAAGGAATACAATGCTTTGTTTACTTTCTGATATGTAACACCCAGGCTTTGACGATACTTCTTCGTGGTAAGAAAATGTATTGTTTTGAGCAAACTGATTTTTGCCTTGATGTGGATATGCCTGCTTTCCTTGACCAAACAACTCCAGACGTACATTGGTCCTGTGCTTGTGTCAGTGAACCCCTTCAAGCAGCTGCCGTACTTCACCAACAAGCAGGTGGACCAGTACCAAGGAGCTGTAAGTATGCCGAGATGCATCCGTAACAGCGGATAAAATGGAGAATACATGAGGTCACCCATCGATTTGCGGTTTGCAGCGAAAAATAAAAGTAGAGGATCTGTTGGGCATATTTGGAAAATTGACTCTTGTACTCGCCGTAGATGGATATTTCAGTGCAACAAAATTGTGGGTCAACTGCGCACTGGTGGCGTGCAAACTGAGGTAGCAGAAGAACTGATGGCGTTTCCCTCCTTCTCACTCTCAGTTCCCTATTTCTTTATCTTCCTAGGTCTTTCTATTCTTTCTTGTTCCCATCTTTCATAGTTCTCTATCTCTCTAGTTAACGCTTTCTAATTCTATCTTTCTCACTTTCTTTCTTTCCATCATTTTCTTTCTGCCTGTCGTTCTCTTTTTTTCTATGGTATGCTTTACTCTTTTCTCTTCTGCTTTCTATTCTCAGCCTCATCTATCCTACTCTCCCTCACTTCGTTTTCCCACTCTCTTGCTACACTACTAGGAAAGGTTATGCTTTAGGGTTGACAGGCGGGCTAGTTGGTACAAATTCATAATGGAATAATTGGAAGCGCAAACCAACCGGACACAAGAGAACAGACAAACTGTCCTTGTTTGTCTCTTCTCTTATGTCCTGTTGGTTTGCGCTTCCAATTATTCCCTTAAGGTTATGCTTGCTGTGCACTGCTGGCCTTCGGTTGGCGTGTACGTAGGTTTCAATCTCGTCTCGCGTAAAAATCTCTCCTCCCCCCCCCCCCTAAAATTTCTCCTCTCCCTGTCCTTATTTATGTTTTTTCCCCCTCTATTTCTCTACACCCATCGTCTCGCCCGTGAGAGTCCCACGCCAGAGAAATTAGCGCTTGTGTTTTGGGAGCATATTTGGGAGCGAAGCAAAACGACGAAGAGGGCGCGTGATTGTTCGTGATGATGTTTTAAATGTGAAGCATTTCTAAGCGAACCTCAGTGACTTTGAGCGTATCTAACTATCTAGCCGCTTACGTTTGGGTGCTCTCGTGATCACTCCTTTAACTTGGCGTGAACCAAAATTAGCATGAAGGGTAAGATGGTGTGATCAAACAAAACGTGAATAATGTCACATTCCCGTCACGTCCGTCGCCAAACACTTCCCGCCAGACAGTGGCACATATCCGCGGGTGAGTATGTGCCACTGGTATGCGTGTATGTGCCACAGGTGATTGACACTTTGTATCTACCGAGGAACGACGAGAACACACATGGGTAATTTTAACGCGCGAGCGTTAAGAAATACCTAACATCGGTATACGACCCGATGAATGCAAAGAATAAATGTGAAGGTCTCAGCTGGAGTCGAACCCAAGCATTCTGCGTGGCAATGAATCATTCTGCCACAGAGCTACGCCAGGTTTCGGTTTTCAAATAGACGCTAATCTTCGTGAAACGTCAATGGTGGTTGCAGTGCTGCCTATCCAATTTTATAAGCAATACATATGTACTTCTTTGATACAGCCGTCACGCCGGGTTAACGTCAATCGTGGTTAGTTGCCATGCGCTGAAGTTGATTTATAAAGCAGTGTTCAGGGCCAGCATCCTTGATTTATATGTGGGGTTTAACGTCCCAACACCACCATATGATTATGAGAGACGCCGTAGTGGAGGGCTCCGGAAATTCAGACAACCTGGGGTTCTTTAACGTGCACCCAAATCTGAGCACATGGGCCTATAACATTTCCGCGTCCATCGGAAATGCAGCCGCCGCAGCCGGGATTCGATCCCGCGACCTGCGGGTCAGCAGCCGAGTACCTTAGCCACTAGGCCACCGCGGCGGGGCTCTGCATAATACAGGTTACGACCGAAATTGTGGTGTCATAAACCCTTTAACAGTCACTTGCTTGTGGCTTGATCTTCTTTGTCGATTTGTCGAAAACTCACAATATTTTCAGCACCTCAATTTTTCTTGGGTATGTTCAGTATGCCGCTTCTGCTCGTTTAGCATAGCTTCAGTTATTCTTCTGCTTCATCTTTTTTTTGTTATTTCTTTGGCGGAGGGGGAAGTGATGCTACTGGAGGAAGCTTGACGGTGATTTGTTATTTCTTTGGCGGAGGGGGAAGTGACGCTACTGGAGGAAGCTTGACGGTGACCTTCTATTTGCCATCAGGGCGCAGGAGGTGTACTGTACGAGCAGAGTAAGTGTGATGAGCTAGGTAGCATTTAGAAGGCTATACGTAATCAAAGCGCAATTACCCCAATTAGGTGGAAATTTCGTGCGCAGGCCTTGCGTGGGCTGTGTACGTGCACGCTAGTGAGTGCAGGTGGGCCATCTCGCCTGTTCTCCCATCGACGTCCCGTCTCCCTTTGCGTGCCTCCGAACGGAGACTCACGTCACAGCATCGATCAGGTGCGCCGATCTCGCCTCGTGGTCGGCTGGCTTTTCGTTTTGCGCGCCGTGAAATCGCGGTCAAGATACAAGAGAAAGGGAGAGAGAACATGACGAAGAAGTGTATATGTGACGCAGAAGCTTGCTATTGCGTGATATGTTGTACATAACTGCGATTCTAAGAGAAGCCAGACCGGTTACTGACACGACCCGATCGTGACACGATCGTATAACGGGTACTGACACGACAATTTTCAGTAGTCGTCTTACTGCGTAAAAAAAAAAAAAAATGTCGGAGCCCCTAAAAGGCTGGAAAACGTACTGCTAGACTTGGGTACGCCGTATAAAAATGTGACTAGTTGCAGCTTGTCTTTAAAAGGTAGTGTCGGTTCCTATTGCATGCTGACGTCAACACGCAGTATGAGGTGCGCAACGAGTTCACGTCCTCGCTGCATTTCCTATTAAAGTTGTTTCACTCACTCACTCACTCACTCACTCACTCACTCACTCACTCACTCACTCAGTCAGTCGTCACGTGCTGGCGCAATACATCGTTACGTCTTCACTGCTGCTCTGCTCCTTGGCTATGTTGGTGATGCACTATCGGCAATTTGGTCCGTTCCCGTACCTGACGTCAACGCAACTTGCCATACTGGTGTGTGTCAAACCACCGAAATTGATACTATAGAGCCTGACGTCATGCTAGAATTGAAGTCAGTGAGCGGGCCATGCGAAAATTGACTTTAGTGTCGGAATAAAATGTCGGCATTCAGTGACCTCCGCACTTGCTCAAAGCTGCCTCTGTACCCAGGAGAATCGTATAGCTTAGTAAATTTAGCTTCGAAAATTGTTATCGGCTTCCTTTTAAGTAAACTGTTATCTTGATAAAAACCTGCTTGTATAACCATACGCATGAACCCCGCCGCGGTGGTCTAGTGGCTAAGATACTTGGCTGCTGACCAGCAGGTCGCGGGATCGAATCCCGGCTGCGGCGGCTGCGTTTTCGGTGGAGGCGAAAATGCTGTAGGCCCGTCTGCACGTTAAAGAACTCCAGGTGGTCGAAATTTCCGGAGCCCTTCTCTACGGCGTCTCTCGTAAACATATGGTTGTTTTGGGACGCTAAACCCCACACATCTATCTAACAATACGCATGCTTGTGCAATCTTTAATCATCGGTAGCGTTTCTGGTGACGAGGCGTTTTTCGTGACATAGTTTAAGTGGTGAATTTTCAATAAATATTCAGTTCACAGTCCAGCGCTAGTCATGTTAAGTTCGCTCCTTTGTTGTCCTCGTTTGATCACGCTGCCTGAAGTTATTCGCATCAATCGCCGGTACACTGAGATGCACTAATATACAGTGCTCGTCCGGTACAGTGGTTTTTCCAGCAACAGGTATCGCCAGGAGCTTTCGGACAGATTTCCCCTAGACATGGACAGTTGCGAAAGTAGCTGCTCTGCGCGCTGCACTCTGGTCAGTCGGGAACAACCTGTGCGATTGTCGATGTTCAGCTTACTTCAGCAATTCATAAGTAGCCCTACATTCTGTGCTATCTGCGCTGTGTCGCGGGTCATATGAACAAATTATATTAGAAATTCGATGTTTTCTTCATACAACGCATGAAAAAGGGCACTACGGGACGTTTTAGTGGTTACGTATTCACTGCGGCAACACGGGGAACGAGCACGCCGATAATGCAGCTCGAGCAGCTTTTGAAGGTACGCGGGAAGAAACGCCCCTGCTTCGAAGGTCTGACGCTGCCAGCAGTCTTCGAGGCCTTGCACAGGAAGTAATGCTCTCTCTATGGTGTCCACGAAGCAGCCAGACCAACTGGATCGATCGTCAACACCACCTGCCCTCTTTGATGCATCTCTGCGTGCCAACTGGACTGAGTCAAAGAGAGGCCGCCCCGTTTGATCTATTATGGATAGGGGGTTGCACTGACTAAATCTGATTCCTGTCGAATTTCAATGGCCTACAACTCTCTTTGCGATGCCTGTCACGGTGAGGAGACGTTACATCATGATCCTGTGCGGCTCTCCGGGAGTAGAAGAGAGTAGTCTGCAGAAGTGTGGTCTGTGCAATACGTCTTTTCGCTTCATTGATTCCTGGGACACACGGCTTAATATCAAGAGGTGAAAGCATCCACGGAGGAAATCTTGGAAGCATCAACTTTTTCGGCTGTCTGATAGCAGTAAGTTGCTGCATTTGCACAGCTTGGCCGAATGCTGAATCGCTGTGGGTGAGATGTATGCGGCACAAAAAATGCTTCTTCCCATGTATGACATGGCGGAAATGAGTGCGCAATATTTCATGAGTGCAGATGACATCTAGCGGAAGACATCTTGCTTCCGCTACAGTTCCCGAGCCTGTTGAGCTCTTCGGAAGGCCTAGACAGATTCGCAGGCAATGGTTTCGTGCAGGTTCTAAAGTTCTCTTGTTTGTTGGTGATAATCGGTGAAGTACCGGTAGGCAATAACGCAAGGTTTCTTCGATATACGCTTTCTCAAGCAGAACCATTGATCGGCACTTGCATCTTCATTGTGTTCCCGCCATGAATTTGAAGAGTTGTGATGCTGCAGTTATTCTCGCTCGAGGTTTCTTCACCTGAGGAGACCAGGAAAAACTTCTGTCGATGACTATGCCAAGAA